ATGTGGTGCTGAGGATCGAACCCGGGCCGCACGCATGCCAGGCGAGCGCGCTACCGCTTGAGCCACATCCCCAGCCCTTCATTTGCCTTTTTAATGATATTTTTCAGGTTTGCCAACAGCCTGAGTGTGGAAAGTGCAAAGCCTGTAAGGACATGGTTAAATTTGGTGGCAGTGGACGKAGCAAGCAAGCTTGTCTAAAGAGGAGGTAGGTTGGGCCACCTGTTCTCATGGCAGCTGGTGCAGGTGTGCTGTGCAGAAGGGCCTGCCTGGTGTAGAGCAGGCAGGTGTCCTATGTCTAGGGTCATCCCAGACTGGTCCCTGCTCCCAGAGTACAACAGCCTCTGTTGGTTTGACTCTCCTCATAGAGCGGTCCTTACAACAAGTGACTTTGCAGGTGTCCCAATATGGCAATGAAGGAGGCAGATGATGATGAAGAAGTTGACGACGACATCCCAGAGGTGCCATCACCCAAAAAAATGCATCAAGGGAAGAAAAAGAAACAGAACAAAGATCGGATCTCTTGGGTTGGGGAGGCCGTCAAGGTAATCCTCAGATCAGACTCTCCTTTGATTTATCGCGGGCTCCTGAGGAGCAAGTGGTCTGATAATTTCCCTCGTGGTAGCCTGGACCCTGGGGCCAAGAACCTGTATGCTCCATAAGGAGCTGGAGTAGCCTAGCTCCAGAGGGGCTTTGTCTCCACCCTCCACCCTCAACCTCCTGGTACTAGGAATTCAACCCAGGGCTTCATGTATTTTAGGCAAGTGTTCTATGAGCTGCACCCCCAGTCCAATGAATGAAATTGTGAGGAGTTCAGTTTTTTTTTCTTTTTGTAGTTGTATATGGACAGCATGCCTTTATTTTTACTTGATGCTAAGGATTGAACCCAGTGCTTCACATGTGCAAGGCCACTGAGCTACAGCCCCAGCCCATGAGTTGTATTTTTAGCTTTTTTTTTTTTTGGTGTTGGTGCTGGGGATTGAGTATGTTTTAGTTTGTTGTTGTGCTAGGGATTCAACCCAGGAGCATTAACCACTGAATTACATCCCCAGCCCTTTTTTTGTATTTTATTTAGAGACAGGGTCTCTCTGAGTAACTTAGTGCCTCACTAAGTTGCTGAGGCTGGCTTTGAACTCAATCCTCCTGACAGCCTCGTGAGCCACTAGGATTAGGAGATTGAATCCAGGGCCTTTGCATGCTTGGTGAGCACTCTACCAACTGCAACTGAGCTGTATCCCTAGCCTATGTTTTTAACTTTTTTTGAGGGGTGTTGGTTGAACCAAGGGCCTTGCACATGCTAAGCATGTGCTCTGTCACTGAGCCACATCCCCTGCCCCGAGTCATGTTTTAGTCTAAGATTTCCAGAGGAACACAGAGGTGAGGCCTAGCAAGGACCCTGGAGATGACCCTTATTTGAACTTCATCTTGTTCCAGACTGATGGGAAGAAGAGTTACTATCGTCAGGTGTGCATTGACGCGGAAACCCTGGAGGTGGGGGACTGTGTCTCTGTTATTCCAGATGACTCCTCAAAACCTCTGTATCTAGCAAGGTGTGTATCCTTCTGCTTGTCTTTAGCATACTCACAAACAAGTAGGAGGTACCTGTTGAGCCAGAGTAAAACCCAAAGCCCTCCCCCCCCCCCACCGTTCCCCCCCCCCACTCCGTCAAGCTTCTGATTGTAGGTCAGATCTTTCTCCA